CAGTTCAAATTTGAAAAGTTTAAAGAATCATTAAGCCATACTTTCACCTCTCATATTTATACTAAAACTTAGAATCAAATAAATTTTAATCCTTGTGCTCTAGACAAGGTCCCCATTGATCTCATCTCAAGACACCTACGATATTTTCTGATAGATGTGCCACCCCTACCAAAACTTCCCACCTAACTATGTCTACAGATATCTCAGATCACGACATGGTTAACTTAGTTCATAATTAAATAAATTCAAAAATTCAAAATATAAAAGATCCATGAAATAGATGCACTTTACATACAAACAATCCTTCAATCTGCCTCTATATTGTACCTTGAATCAAGAAGATTTTAAATTCTCAAGGTTCGTGGAAAAGTACATCTAATTTTGGAAAACCTCTGGAGAACAAATATACAATAGAAAGCAAATTAAGTAAAACCGTCACAAGTTTCAAGTATCACAAAAAATACGAAGAGAAAGGAATGAAAAACATTTAAGAGAGTATCAAAGAAGGGGTTCAGAAAGTTCCATTTCATTTGCACTTTGTTGTGGTGTTGCTGAAGGACGTGAGCCGACAAAATCCAAGCCAAGCCATTGCCATGGCCAACATACGTATCTCGGCCGAGTGAGGCCCGTTCTTGAGGTTTCTTGGGTGTCTAGCTCATCGAGTTGATGAGTCAGCTCTTCGACTCTGTCTCTCAGCCTAGACGCCCTCATATCTGCCAATCTCAATGATTTCTCAGCAGCGTCTCTTGCTGCCATGGCAGCCGCTGCTGTTTCTTCTTTGAACTTCAGCTTTTTCTCCCATTCAATTACAGTTTTCTTTGCCTCCTCGAGTTCCTGGCCCACAACTTCCAACTGCAGAACCATGGACACAAGATTAATTCTAATTCCATTCTTAAAAGTAACTTTTATGACTTTGGAAAACATGGCCGAGGACATGAATAAAAAAGACGGGACAAAAAATAAAAACTTGTCATTACTACTATAAATGAAAAAAATAATACAGGATCTCTTCTAGACAGGTCTGTCCATTGAAGGTGGTTTACACAAGGTCAGGAGAATCGTGGTGAGATACAAATTTATCAATGAAAAAAACGTAAAAAAACTTAATATGTAGAGTTTTCTCATACTTGGAATGATCATCAAATTATGTAGAACTCTTCAGAAACAGTGCGCTTAATAATTATGGTACTGGAGAAGCTCCGATTTGGAGACAATAACTAAAAATTTTTCTTTCAGAAACCAAATTGAAATTATTCTAGCATATCTTCAGGCACAGAAATCTCGTTCAGTATACCATACACAAACCCGGTCAAATTCACAAAAATAACCACAGGAGAAATAAGAAAAGCAAATTGAGTCCCCCTTTCTCAGCTATACCTGTGCTACATACTCTTGTTCGACTGCTTTCCCTACTGCAGCTTCTTGTTGTGCAGCTATTTTCCACCGTGTGATTTCTTCTTCAGCAGCAGAAATATCCATCATAAGACCTTCGACCTAGTTAAGATTATTAAATATCAGATTTGAAAATGATACATACATAAAGGACAAGGAAGAAATCTCTAGTCCTTTGCATTGTTAAACTATCATACAGGATAAAGAGAAATTAAATGGTTGGAACTTTAAATTCGTTGATATCAGTTAAGAACAGAGTCATAATAAATTACATTTTCATTTGCCAATCTCTCCTTCTCTTCAAGCTCTTCCACACGTTGTTTCCACTGGTTGAGCTCCTTGGATAGAGCGTCCACATGCTCCTTGTATAAACTTGACTCTGCCCTTAATTTAGTACGTAGACATATTAACAATTAGATAATAAACAACACTCGTACCAAAGAGGAAACAATATACAAAAGACATAGTAAATCGAAAAAATCACCATTGGATATAGTCATTCATATCTTATAATACAAATGAATTGTCAGTTAAATTAGGCTAATAGATG